TGTGGAAACAACCACAGTCTTATAGCATCGTCCGAGATACCCTGGTACCTGAAGTGTTGGTACATATCCAGAAATCGGGATATGTGTGTGTGTTGGTTTTCACTAGCCATCCCGTGGTATTGATGCCCATTCTGAAACAGTTGAATCAGATTTGTTTTCAGCTGAAAGTTCGGTTGCCCAAAGGGGGGATACACAATGCTAGATTGACTTTGGACCCAACAGAGCCATGAAGTCCCCAAGTACTGTATTCCCATCATCTTCAACTGCCATGCCTTCGTTGAGTGGAATTGCCGGTCGATTTTGCTCGTTAGCCATTTGTTGTGCCACTCTTGCTTCTTTTTGCCTATGACGGAATGTGTGTTCGATCTCTGGATCTATGGGAACCAAATCTTGATCAGGTGCTCCTTGCATACAAACCCTGAGATTGCAAAATCAATACAAAATTAAATTGAAGTATTAATAAACTAAACCTAGTAAGTTAACTACTACTAATCTAGATAAGTTCGAATTAGTGTCACAAAAGATAAAATTAAAACTAAATTTCAATCCCCGACAACAGCGCTAAAAACTTGTTCGCGAAATTTTGTTTATTCTGATTTTAAATCCACCGCAAGTGTACGGTTCATTAACAAGTAGTAAAATGGACTATAAGTCCAAGTATCGATCCCACGAGGATTGAATTAGTCCGAATTAATCTAATATGACCTTAACCGAAACACAACAACCAAATGGCGATTTTGTACTTTAACTAACAAAATGTAATCATTGATGCAATTATGAACTAAGGATTATACTAAGTTCAAAATAAATTGGATGCAATTTAACTAGAATTTTATAGAATTGATGGATGTGCTAATACACTAGGATCACGAATCCCCAAGCAATACCCGTTCAATAGTCATTTATGCAAATTTGACACACAATTCCACAAAAGATGAATCAATATTCCTCTTTTAATTTAGCAATCTCTCTCGAGCAATGCCAAATCTATCCCAATATATAATTCGACTATATTTCTATGATGAATACTAATATGCCGACATGCATTATAATTCACGAATATCCAATGATTCACACAAGGCATAGAGGTATATTTCTATCCTCTATCGGACCCTATGACGATTTATACCATGTCGAACCTATTTTCCTTCTTTCGAATGTATAAAATAGGTCACCACAATCATATAATCATGTGCACAATAATTATATGAAAATAAAAACGAAATAAATCAATCAATTCTGGAATTTGTGTTCACATACGTCAAAAATCCAAAACAACAATTAAACGTAGTATTACAAGGTTCATCGATCTCCTAGTAGTGATAAATCTAGCCTAACATGCTAAAAAGAATAAAACTTAAAAGTATTTGAAGAAACGACATCACTCGAATCAATATTCAATCCGATCTTCAATTGGCGCGATGTTGTTATCTTGTTCTCTCCGTTGTTTCTTCTTCAAAATCTCCCAAAAACACGTAAAAATGGCGTCCCCTTCGTTCTGGTCGAGTTTTTGTATTTATAGGACCCTAAAATTCTTGTTTCCATAAGAGTTTCGGAAGAAAAAGGAAACTAAATTTTTTCCAAATTTTTGTTCTATGCGACCGTATAGAGCAATTCTATGCGGTTGCATAGAAGAAATTTTTCAACCCTCTTTGATTTCGGTATGGTACTATGCGACCGTATAGAAGATAATACTATGCGGTCGCATAGTACTATCAACTATGGTAGAATTGCGTTTTGGTCCTCCCACTTGCATCTTTCACTCCTTAGCATCTTCTCTTCATTCTTTTCATTTCATCACCCCACGATATCGTCAATTGGTAATTGGCCTAATCGATTTCTCGATTTGTTCATCGGATCAACTTTTGGATATTTGCACTTTTGGTCCCTGAACTTTCACTTTGTGTCACTTTAGTCCTTTTTCGCGTCTTTTCTCCTGAATTTCATCATGTTCATCGTTGTTTCCTACAATTCACAATTGTACAAGATTAAGTCACAATTCAATCATTTTGCTCGTATTTAAGTCATGTTTGTGACCTAAATAAGTGTGCAAAAACACACTTATCATGTTACCAAATCCTCTTCAGGACATACCCTTTGATCGCCCTCATACAAATCCTTCATCTGCATACAATCATGATGAGGTTCCTCATATCCCTAGCTCTAGCCTTATTCATGGTTCAGATCCATCTTCTTCACCTATTCCTAGACGAGGCAATAGAACATGCAAGGTTCCTTCATAACTTCGTGATTTCCATTGCAATCTTCAAACCAACACCGTTCCTCCTCAAAATCATTCCTTATACCCTCTATACAAAGCCTTATCTTACAAGGCTCTTTTCCTTGCACATAATTCCCTTCTCTTCAATATATCATCCACATTTGAACCTCAATTTTACCATCAGGCAGCAAAATATGATCACTAGAAAAGGGCTATGGCTGATGAATTGGAAGCCATAGAAGCAAACCATACTTGGTCAATTACAGTTTTACCAAAAGACAAACATTCCATAGGATATTGATGGGTATATAAATTCAAATTCAAATCAGATGGCAGCATAGAATGGTATAAAGCCCGGTTAGTAGCTAAAGGCTACACTCAACAGGAAGGTTTGGACTTCAATGAAACCTTTTCTCCAATAGCAAAATTGGTTACGATCAAGACTTTGTTTGCAGTTGCTGCTGTTAAGAAATGGAACATGGTTCAACTGGATGTTAATAACGCATTTCTTAATGGTGACCTATTTGAGGAGATTTATATGGATTTACCTTTAGGCCATCCCAAGCATTGTAATGTTGGATCTCAGGGGGAGAAACTAGTATGCAGGTTGCATAAATCAATTTATGGTCTAAAGCAAGCTTCTAGGCAGTGGTTCTCCAAGTTTTCTCAAGCACTTTTGCTACATGGTTTTCAGCAGTCTAAATCGAATTATTCCTTGTTCACAAAGGGGTCTACCGGTCTAGTGCTTCTTTTACCGCCTTGTTAGTTTACTTTGATGATATAACTATCCTCGGATCAAACACTAAGTCAATTGATTCTTTGAAAGCCTTTTTGCACAGCCAATTTAAGTTGAAGTATCTTGGTAAGCTAAAATATTTTCTTGGCTTGGAAATAGCTAGATCAAAGAAAGGGATCTTTCTTTCCCAAAGGCATTACACCTTGCAACTCCTGGAGGATACAGGGTTTTTGGCATGTAAACCAGCTGTGTTGCTAATGGACCCTAATGCAAAGCTCAGCTCATTTGACGGAGAGTTACTTGAAGAGGAGAGTTACTTGAAGATGCATCCCTGTACCATCGTCTTGTTGGTCACCTGTTATACTTGACCATATCTCGTCCAGACATTACCTTTGCTGTCCACAAATTAAGTTAGTTTGTATCGCAGCCTCGCCAACCTCACTTAGATGTAGTTCATCATCTCTTAAGATACCTCAAAGCTACTCCAGGTCAAGGGTTATTGTTTGATGCGCTTTTCCCTTTCCAGATTCATGCCTTTGCAGATGCTAATTGGGGGTCATGTCCTGATTCCAGAAAGTTAGTTACTAGTTTTTGTGTCTTTCTTGAAACTCCTTGATCTCTTGGAAGTCTAAGAAGCAGACTACTGTCTCCAGATCCTCAGCAGAGGTTGAATACCGGGCTTTGGCTTTTTTGGCATGTGAGATTACTTGGATCCATCAACTTCTTATTGACTTGTAGGTCGCAACTCACTTCCAGCCTTAATTTTTTGTGATAATCAAGCTGTCATCCACATTGTAACTAATCCAATATTTCATGAAAGGACAAGACACATTGAGATCGACTGCCATTTCATTCGAGACAAAGTTAATAATGGATTTATCAAGTTACTACCAGTTAGCACTCAACACCAGTTAGCTGATATATTCACTAAATTGTTGCCATCATCTCTTCTCTTTCCTCTCATGTCCAAGATGGCTATCCTTAATTTGCATAGTCCATCTTGAGGGGGAGTATTACGGACTCCAGCAGCTCAGCGATTTCTCTACTATTGGCACCAAATTTAGATAGAAACTAGCTGTGTACAGCTGTCAAGTCAATTCGTAGTTCAGCTATTTATACTTACCTGTGTACTGATAAATATTTTGATTCAATGAGAATGCTTTCCATTTTTTCTAGATTCTTCTTTTCTTCAATACTATATGACATCTATCAATATGCGCTCTATCTTTCTTTTCTAACGTATTCTACTAATAATATTGTATCGCTCTTATGCACAAGTATTCATTCAAAGCCTGTCCATTACAAGCTCATCAATTAATTTCTTAATGGCGGATGAATTAAATCAGATGGAGACAAATAATGAAACCAGTGACGAAGGAAGAATATAACACAAAGTCAAGAAGAAAGCTAAGCATCTTGACGCAAAATCAAAATATTAGAAAGAATAAAAAGAAAATACAGAACCGTTTAGACAATTAACGGTAATTAACTAATTATAGATAACAAACTAAAATCAAATAGATTTGCACGCAAATCCCTACAAACCCTACCCAAGTTGAATTTTCTCTTTACACTAAGTAAAAAACCATGCAAGTTTAGTTTGTTCCTTTATTCTATACACTTCCATTATGCTGTTCTAATTTCGCACGTATAGCAAATCACAGTGGGTTATGGTGCATGTCATTATGACATAACACATATTTAACAACAGTGAACATCAATTGGATTTAATCAAAATCTTTATCATTTATAATTCCACCCTGTAGAATTAGAACTGTAACTTAAATAAATTATGCACACAATATAAATTAGAACATCAATTTTGTTTGCAATTGGACCTTTTCCATTAACATATGTCGAATTCAGATTAAAGACAAACATGCAATCTGAATTATATATGGTAAATGAGTACAGAATACTTATCCATAATTGAGGACCCAAAGTCAATGCAAATGATACTAGAATTTATAATTTAAATAGAATACCAGCATTCCGAATGTACACGAAGTTATATATATAATATTCTTACGGGACATGCAAGGTTATTTATGTAATTTGCTAATTCAGCTAGTTAGTTAGGCTGAGCTGTCAATTCTACAGCTGGTTACTATTGTACAGAATAAGTGCATGTATATATACGTTTGTACTGCTTCCTTTTGGCATATATGAAATACTCCAGTTTCTCTCTCTACTCTGTAATCAGGTTTTCTCCAATTAGGGTGTAAACTTTACATGGTATCAGAGCATTGATCAAGACCTTCATTCATGGTGACAAATCCAGAAGCTGAAATTGAAGAATCGACTGATACTCCTACACCGAAAGTTGATCACGGTGAAGATCTGTTGCTTGCAACTCATCAACTGATATTGGATCTCTCGAGCCCTTACTACGTGCACTATGTAGATAACACAGGTATGCAGATTGTTTCAGTTGTTCTCTCTAATGAGAATTATTCAACCTAAAGTCGTGCTATGGAAATGGCATTGAGTGTGAAAAATAAGGAAGGTTTTATTGATGGTTCGATAGTGAAACCCTCCATGAATTTACCTTTGTATGCTGCCTGGCGTAGATGCAATCATATTGTTTCATCATGGATTATTAGTTCAATTCCTAAGGAACTATATCCTAATGTTATGCATAAGGACTCAGCACGTGAGATCTGGCTCAAATTGAAAGATAGGTATAGTCAGGGCAATGGACCTAGAATTTACCAATTGAAGAAGCTAATTGCTTCAATTTCACAAGGGTATGGATCTGTAAGTGCCTATTTTAATAGGCTGAAAGGCTTATGAGAAGAGTTGTCGAACTATAGGCCACAAACTCATAATTCTTATCATGAAGAAGAACAAATACTGCAATTTTTAATGGGACTGGATGAGTGTTATTCCAATGTGAGAAGTCAGATTTTACTAATGGAGCCTTTGCCTCCACTAAACGAAGTGTTTACCTTAGTTCAGTAGGATGAAAAACTGAGAGATGTGGCATCAAGGAGTTAGATTAATGTGGAAACCAGTGCATTCATTAGTAGATTGATGCGTAATCCTATGAGCTCCGGAGGTAACCGAAGAACAACGAATATGAATCAAAATTACAGGAAGGATAGACCTAAGTGTAGTTACTGTGGGATGCTTGGACATATACAGGGAAAGTGCTACAAACTCCATGGATATCCTCCAGGACATAGGTTGGCAAAGGAGAAAGGAAAATGATATATTTCCAGTGCTAATCAGGTGATGGGAACTGCTACCTCCTCTGATCTGTCAGGTGCATTCTCAAACCTGACATTTACTCCAGAACAATGCTAGCAAGTTCTCAATATGTTGAAACCGCAGATTCACGTTCAGCTCTCAAATTTGATTACTCAATCTGGTAATACTGAAAACCAAAGTCAAACAAACCTTGCATTGCCAGATGTTTCACATTCTGAGGTAATAACTTCTGTCTAGCAGTCTCAATTATAAGGCATAAGTGTATAATTGATACTGGGGCAACAGACCACATGGTGTGTTGTATTGATCATCTATCCACTATCACTGCTAGAGTAAGTGCAAGTGTCAAACTTCCAAATGGAGATGAGGCTCATGTGACTCACATAGGAACTGTAAAGCTGTCTGAAAGGCTATTACTAACCAATGTGTTATGCATTCCCTCTTTTAAATGTAATCTAATCTCTGCCAGCAAACTCATCCTTTCACACCAATGTTACTTAATATTCTTGTCTGATCATTGTCTTATTCAGGACCTTTCTACATGGACAACGATTGGAGTGGGGAAACTTGAAGCTGGATTGTATCACTACTAGCTTAGTACTCCTTCAAACAATGGTCCATCACTCCCTGCATGCCCCATCAAATCTGCACCACATCAATTCAATACATTCTCTTCTGTACTTGTAGATGTTGGCTGTAATAAAGTCATAAATCATGACTATGTTTCTAGTCTCAATGCTGTCACAAAAGTGCCTTTTGAACTATGGCACTCTAGGTTAGGACATATTCCCCATTCTAGAATCTCCATGTTGCAAAAACTTGTACCTAAAATTGTATGGAATTATGAATTTCATTCTAGTATTTGTCCTATGGCAAAGCAACATAGGTTGCCTTTTCCTCACAGTATGCATATATCTCAATCTTGTTTTGAACTTGTTCGTTGTGATGTCTGGGGTCCTTATCAATCTCATTCCCTTGATGGTTCACAATATTTTTTTGACTATAATGGATCATTATAGTAGATCCACTTGGACATTTCTGATGAAAACTAAATCACAGACCAGACAACTCATTCAAACCTTTTTCAACATGATTGAAACTCAGTTCAGTACCAAAATTAAGGTCCTAAGGTCTGACAATGGTGCTGAATTTGCCATGAGTGATTTTTTTCCTTCCCAAAGGGACTATATGTTGAAAGACCTCAACAAAATGGCATAGTTGAGCGAAAACATCAACATTTGTTAAATGTCGCTAGAGCCTTAAAATTCCAGATAAAATTTGGGGAGAATGTATTTTAATAGCCACATATCTGATAAATCACATACCCAGTGCTTCTCTATCAAACAAATCACCCTATGAAATCCTCTTCTCAGCAAAGCATTCATATTCACACTAAAGAGTCTTTGGCTCCTTATGCTATGCTTCCACCATTTAAAGACATAGATTCAAGTTTGATCCTAGAGCGGTCCCATGTATTTTCATTGGTTATCCTCCCACCACAAAAGGGGTACAAGGTATATAATCTGTGCACACAAGCTACTTTTGTATCTAGGGATGTCATCTTTCATGAAAATATATTTCCCTTTCAAGATCTCACATTGTTAACATCACTTGGCTATATTTCCTCTATTTTCGCTTTTCTCTCATCCTATATCAGAACTCTTATCCCCCACACATTCTTCATCATCACACAATAACACTTCTTTGCCTTCACATTTATCTTCATCTCCAAATCCATCACATAACAATGTATCATTATCTCCACCCTCTGTGTCACCGGTCATCACTTCACCATCTTCACAGCCTTCACCTAATATTCCTCTCCGCAGATCTACCAGCAACAGAAAACCTCCCAACTATTTCCAATAATTTCATTGCAACCTAATCTCTCAGCAAGAATCTGCTTCTTCACTTTCCTCTCATAATACTGGAATATCACATGCATTATCCAACACCTTGGGTTATGATTCACTTTCACCAGCTCACAGGGTTTATGTGTTATCACTGTCTACTAATGTTGAGCCCAGAAATATTTTTGAAGCATCACAATCTCCAACATGGTGCCAAGCTATGGATGATGAATACTGGGCTCTAGTTAACAATAACACCTGGACCATCACTTCCCTCCCAACAAACAAGAAACATGTAGACTGCAAGTGGGTCTATAAGATCAAACTAAAGCAAGATGGAAGTGAAGAAGGAAGAAAGCAAGGTTGGTGGCAAGGGGATTCACCCAGCAGGCTGGTCTAGATTATCAAGAGACATTTTCTCCTGTTGCAAAGTTATCCTCAATCAAGGCTCTGTTGGCAGTTGCGGCATGCAAAAATTGGCACCTTCACCTGTTACACATCAACAATGCCTTTCTTCATGGGGACCTAGATGAAGAAGTGTTTATGAAAATGCCTCCGAGATATGAGCAGCAGGGGGAGAATGGAGTCACATTGGTGTGCAAACTCAACAAGTCCATTTATGGACTTAAACAGACCTCTAGGCAATGGAATACCAAACTATCATCATTTATTGTTTCTCAAGGGATTGGTCAATCAAAATTAGATTATTCCCTTTTTAGCAAAAGGATTGGCTACTCATATACCGTACTGCTGGTGTATGTTGATGATATTATCATAAGTGGAAATGACTTGACCTATATTGAGCAGTTCAAAAGAAGTCTTGATGAGCAATTTAAATTAAATGATTTAGGAGTTTTGAAATATTTTCTAGGACTTGAAGTTGCAAGGTCATCAAAGGGAATTGCTGTATGTCAACGTAAATATGAATTAGAAATTCTTGAGGACACATTTTATTTAGGAGCAAAGCCTGCAAAATGCCCTATGTTGCAAAATCTAAAGCTAACTAAAGATCAAGGTGAGTTGATTGATGATCTAGGAATGTATAGAAGATTAATTGGAAGATTAAAGGATTTAGGAGTTTTGAAATATTTTCTAGGACTTGAAGTTGCAAGGTCGTCAAAGGGAATTGTTGTATGTCAACGTAACGATATAATATTTCGGGAACTAAATACGTAATTGATCAAATCAATAAAGTTTTAATACTTGATACACCTATCACCTATAAGAATTTAGAGCAAACATTATGTGAAATGTATGATTTATATTCGGAAAGAATGGGTGCGAATGTTAGTCGGGTACCCTCTGCACCTACTCCTTTCGCTGAAATTGAAGAAGTGCCGAAATAATGAATTTATTTCAAGGCATTAATACATTTAGATATGATGCAACTGCAATGTGTTCATCTAGTGCCATGTCGTCTACATTTGCATCTCATCAAATATCGGTCGAAACTCAAAATGCGATGCCTGCTGAATTAATTGATTACTTCAATCATAATATGCCAACAGACAGAACAATTAAAAAAAGGTCAGAAGAAGTAATTGAATCCTGGCGAAAGTATGAAAGACGTTAACCAATTGTTTCTGCAATTGCGAAAGATTTGCTGACACCTCCGGTTAGCACTGTTGTTTCGGAGTCTGCTTTTAATGCAGGTAAAAAGGTTTTGACCGATGTCAAGAGTCAACTGAAAGAAAATGTTTTGGAAGCGTTAATGTGTGTGAAGGATTGGCAGGACGCTCATTTTCGACTACAAGATAAATACGCTGAAATTGCATGTCGTCAGGTAAGTGATATTTGATTTAATTATATTAATCAAAATTTCTTTATTTTTTAATCGTTAAATTTAATTTTCTTTAAAAAATTGTACATGTTACAACAAGTTGTTCGTGTACAATTTTTAACTCCGCCGACTTAAAATTGATGTAGTCGGTCCCAAACTTGAGAAAAAGGAGGAGTGTTTACATTTTATCTACTTTAAAAAGAAATAAAAAAAATATATTTTTTGTAAATGTATTTCAAAAAACAATTCGTTTTCATTATATAAATATTTTATACGTTATAAAAGTATTATAATATGATATAAATAAAAAAATAAAAAATTGTTTTCATTAAATTATTTGTATTTTTTAACACTTTTTATTTTTTTTAAAAGTGTTTTCTATTATTTCATTTATTTGTAAAACTCTTTAAAAAAAATTTAAATTTGGACGAGCCCACGAACCGGCTCGGCCGACTCATTGCCACCATTATGTGGCTATGTGCGCATTAATCTGTACTCACTTGATTTTGCCACATACAATAAAGATCGATACATATGCATGATTACCTTATGGACTTGGGTGAGGTATTTACAAACTAAAGTTCAACAATCGAAAAACTTGGAAGATTTTTTGTTTTTTCGACAGGGAAGAATAGAAAAGGGCTATATTATATAAGCTATGAAGGTCCTATAAATTATGCATATGAGGCTTTTGATAAAGGGCTGCAAAGGAGTGATACTGATTGAAATTTTGCAGGAAAAAGGAGCACCTTTTTAAAAAAAAGGTTGAACCCCAACTTTGAGGTCCCCCACCGTCCCGCTCCTAGAGTTTTGTGGGGAAGGTAAATCAAGAGATGTGCCCCAACAAGTCAATGAATAAGAGTTGCATGTACACTGTGTCTACAGGAGTCCAATTCCATGTCTTAGGAATCAAACCCCAAAAGGAACACCTTTTTTTCCATTGCAGTGCACTTGTCTAGCCCTTCTTGTGTACGACAGGGACAAAACAAATGAAACAAGGGGAGGAGAGATCAAATATTGATAAAGAAGAAGACTAGAAATGTTCATAACCTGTTTGGTACTGATTAAATCTAAGTCAAAGTTAAAAATTCATTTCAACCCGATATTTTATGAGTCCTACAACTTTTCAACCACACATTGCATTAACTTTTATCAAAATCTATTAAAAAAATCTTATTTTAAATCCCACTAAGATAAAATGAATGATATAATGTCCTCGGGATAAGAAGCGCTTCCGAGCAAGCAATATGCACAAAGCCCATAGAATATGTATCATTGTATGTACAGTGTATGTAGGAGTTTAAGTACACTTGTGTGCATCAAATGATGGAGATATGTGTTTTGACAATTAGTACGAATGTAGGATCTAAGTACGAATGCAGGATCTAAGTACGAAGCTCGTATTTGAGCTCATTTTGATGAAAAATGAGTTTTGCGATAGTGTTTTTTGAAGAATGTGCAGTTAAAAAGTATGAAAATTTTTGAATTTAAGTATAAAATTATTTTATTAGAAGAATGTATAGTTGGAAATTAATTTTGGAAAAAATGAATTTTTTAAAAATTGGAGCTCATATATGGGCTAACCTTTTAGAAGAAATCATGAAGTTTATAATGTCAACTAGGTTGATAAGATAATGATCATGTGATATGCTCAAGGTTCGTGAACTTTAAATATACATATATATATTATATTTTATAAAGTAATAAAATAAAATTACTAAATTCATGCATATTAATCTATAATAACAAGAAGATAAATTTTGTTGTTATGAATTTCTTTCCTAGATGACCTCTCTCTCTCTCTCTCTCAACATATTTTACAAAATAATATTGTATCGCTCAAGATCTGCCCATTAAAAGCTCATCAATTAATTTCTTAATTTATCTTTTGTCATCGTTACTTGTGGAGAATATCAGTTTGAATTTCAAATGTCGGTTCAAAAAGGCAAAGAAATGATTATATAAATTGCTTTTTTAGTAATTTAATTTTAATGATTAGGGGTATTGACATTATTTAAAAAAATTATTTCCTATGCGAAGACATGATTTATGTATGATTAAACTTAAATAAATAAAGAATATAGTCGTTGAAATTTTTATTTTATTTTTATTTCCAAAAAAATTAGTTACTGTATTTAATTTTTCCAAGCATTTCACATCGGATGACAGCCCTCGCGTTCAAGTTAGTTTTTTTGTTTAGCTTTTGTGACGAAAACTAACTAAATTAATGAAATGCAACGTTAAAATGTATTAAAAACATATTTATTTTTCTTGCATTAATTACATAATTTCAAATTCAAACGAACTAATATACAAATGCAAAATATATTGTAATAATATATCAAACGTACCCTTAAAGTATTCTAATTAAGTACAAACCAAATTATGCACTCTAATAATATTCTCTATTTTGACTCTTTATTTATTTCTTCTAGTGAATATTTCTTAATTTCTCTTTATCCGTTATTTTAACATAATTTTTATATATATTAATGATCAATCAATTCAAATGTAATTTGAATAATTTAAATTATAGAATATTGAAATTTGTACTTATTAAATGCAATCATTATTAATTAAGAATATAGAGAGAGTTTTTTTTTTTTAATTATTACAATCCAACCAAATCAAAATCCAATATACACGTAGTCTCTGTTTGGTTCAATTAAAAACTTGATTAAAATTTAAGTTAAAATGAACAATTAATTTTTAATCTCACATTTTTTGGACTCACAATTTTTCAACCATATATTTCATTATTTTTTAATCAAAATATACTAAAAATTTAACTTTATCTAAACCAAACATGGCCATACTCTTAATATAAAAAAAAAAAAAATTATTTTCACCGTTAAATTCACTCCAACTTACCGTTAAATTCAAGAGTACAAGGGAGCTTCTACAATTTCATTTTTAAAAGAGTTTTTTTTTTTTTTTATGAGCCTTAAAGTAGTGATTTTTTTGGAGAATATGTAATTAAAAAATAGAAAAAATATAAATTTACGTATAAAATATTTTATTGTAAAAATATGTAATTGAAAATGAGTTTTTAAAAAAAAATTAATTTGGAGAATACTAGACAAACAAGGCTTAGCTGTTCATGCAAATTGATACGAATAGACGTTAAAATTTCCGTTTCATTTGTCTACCACCCCCACACCTTCTCATTCCGTCAAAAAAGTACATATATCTGTCACTGTCTCTATCTCTATACATACACGTTCTACAAAAGGATTACAGAGGGATAGTTACATTTACATTGTTCCTGCATCAAACCTGTGAAAAGGTAATAATGTATTTATCTTCTTTACTTTTTCTTATAGAAGAATTTCTATAGATATGTTTGAATGTTCTTCAAAGGGGTGTGTATCTTGAACTTCTGGATTTGTTCTTATTTAATTGTTGTTGCTAGTTTGTTTAGAAATGAATTTCTTTGGTAATAATTTTTTCACCAGTTCCTTTTTTACCTATTTTGGCTTCTATTTTAGTCTTCTTTTGAACGTTTTAATAGTTTGAATTCTGACATTTGTTTCTCTTTCATTTCTCCTTTTGGGTGTGATGTCAATTGTCAGAGCAAAGAGGGGTTGCAAGTCACTTTTTTCTCAACCTTTTTTTTTTTTTTTTTAAATGTTAATTTTTGAAGCATCTGCAGATTGCTTGTTGGAAGGGTTGATAGAAGTTAACCTCATAAAATTTATTAAATTAACCTTATATTTTCAATATTGACTAGTAATTTGTGAATTCTGATGAAATTTGCAGGCATTGAATGGTATATATCTATTGACATCTGTTGGAGTGATAGTGATAATTAAAGGCTTCAATAACATGTAATAAGTTTGTGTGGATTGTAAGCATTTGTTGATCAATTATGGTCAGATAGGTGGATTATTAGATCTTGGAGACAAATATCGCTGTGGAGATTTGAAATCTTATCTAGTTTTCAAAGAATGGCTATTGCGGGTTTACATAATGCATCATCTTTTCGTTCTTCTTTCTTTGGAGAGTCTCAGTCTCCACTGTCGAATCAGTGGGGTGAGCACCAAGATAGGCCTAGCCCACGTTCATCTTCTCTGTTTCAAATATGGCAAGAGCTTGAGAGTGAGCAGGGGGTGAATCTTCCTCGTGAAACAAGGCAGCAGAGTGGTGATGGTTCAAATTCTGACCCATCAGGCACTTTCACGTTGGATAGGCAAGGGAGTGATAATGGGAACCTCACTTTTGAAGCTTCCAGCGAGATTGAGAATCAAGGTCGGATAGGATCAGAAAATGAGCAAGAGGATAGTAGCAGTACTATTATTGAACAATCTACTGATTTGGGAGAAGTTGAGCGTGAAAGAGTGAGGCAAATTTTTCGTGAATGGATGAAAGGTGGTGCTAAGAGTCATACATCTAATGGTCTGCATAGCATGTCCAGGCCACAATGGCTTGGTGAGAATGAGTGTGAAAGGGTGAGAACCGTTAGAGAATGGGTTCAAATGAATACCCAACAGAGAAGCAGTTGTCACTCACATATAGATGCAGTCGGTGAAGTTGGTTTACAGATTGAACGCGATGGTTTGGTGGCCACCCTTGGTGGACGAAGGCCTAATCGAAGATTATGTGGCAGACAGACTCTTCTTGATCTTTTGCAGAGGGCTCAAATTGAAAGGAAAAGAGAACTACTGAAATTGTCTGAGTGGAAGAAAGTTACAAAATTTGCTCATCGTAATCCCATTCAGGTGATTACCATTAAAGATTTTTCTGTTAAATTCATTTAAGCACGAGATCCATTTTTCTAGGTTGTAAAGTGTTACACAGGCTGTCAACCCATAGTGGACCTTCCTTCTTTACCCAGGGGGCTTGGCACCGGCTATAAAATACATCTGCAAACATCTGCTTCTTATAAAAATACAGTGCATTTATAACTTGTCTCTGTAGAATAGTCACAATCTAATAACAGTGTGTAAATTCAAGGAAACACTAAGTCATTGTTTGGACATGGAAACAAATAGGAAGCTAACTTTGTTACTTTTCATTGACTTATTCCTCTCTAATTATCTCAATTTATCTCATATTATATGTTAGTGTTCATGTAGCTGCCATTCTAATTCATTACTATACTTGGAGAACATTGGCCCAAATGTCTCAACTAAAAGCATTGCATCCTTTTTACCCCTCAATCGTGAACTTTCTTCCTTCTCTATTTGGAGCTGCCATTGTGTCATAATTCCTTCCAATTTATTGGAGGATAAATTTTTGAGAAATAATTTTCTTTCACAAACATTTGTTGTAATTGAAGGGTTATGTTTAACCAAATTGCAAAATGCTTATAAAGGTAAAATATTTTCCTGAAGAAGATACTCTACTTGCGATTCTACTATTGTCGTATTCCTGATGCGTTACACAATTGTTTGCTTGTAAGTTTCTCTGAAATTTAATATTGTTCTTTTATTTTCACTAATTCCATATTTCTATTTCAGGCGATTCTTAGAGGTAGTTTCCTTCAAAATCAAAGATTAATCCAGGATACGAGACCATCATCTGTTGCTGCCATTGAATTGGGTTTGCTAAGGCAAAGACCTACAGTATCTGATCTAAGGTAGATTTTAGTGATACGCTTGCTGAGATTATTGACCACGCCCCATTTACCAAATAAAGAATAACAAAATGTCCTTCTTCTCCCAACAATATAACAAGTTTCCTGTATAATAATTTGCATTTGATGATCTTTTGTGACGGTCCACATTTTTCACAAGTTCATTGAGCAAGATTTATTTATTTTTTATTTTTTTTTAAATCCCCTTGAGTCTGGTTTGAATATTCTCTCTCTCTTTCTCATTTTTCTTTTCTTTTCTCTTTTTGGTTATAGGAATTGGCAGTGTTTCCTTTTGTTCCTAATTGGAGCTCTTGTTATGCCATCAATAGACTACTCTTGCTTGATGAATAATTAAGTTCTCATGAAATTACACATTTGTTTCACACGCAACTGAATGGTTAATTTCTGTTCTGATTTTTCTTAATCTTACTCATACTTAGCATTCTCCTGCTTGGGAGATGCTATTGGGATCCCAGAAATGATGAACTACATATTCTCAATTTTGTTAATTTC